CCAAAACCCCAAAACCCCAAAACCCCAAAACCCCAAAACCCCAAAACCCCATTAAAAATAAGTCATTGAATTTTGATAGTAAAGTATTGTATGAAAAAATTAAAAATTCTAGTTTATTTTAATAATTTTAAACTATATGAACAATAACAAAATGGAATACTCTAAATTAGCTGAAAATGATCCACTCTAAAGTTCTGAGAATGAGTCAAATGCAAATTTGAACCAGCCTTTCAAATAGAATATGTAAATAAATACAACTATTTACGATTATCATAGTTTTAACTAAAAAACTGCGAATCAAAACGAGGAGGAAAAAAAATCTGCACCGTCATCAGGGGCAAATAAAGACCACGCGTCTGCTGGATCTGCTGGAGGGGCAAAATTTGAATGCAATATATGTTTAGACATTGCTAATGAACCAGTTGTTAGCACTTGTGGGCATCTATATTGCTGGGTATGCATATTCCAATGGATAAATCAGCCGAAGGAGACCTTGCTCTGTCCTGTATGTAAAAGTGGTATATCAAAAGAAACTCTAATACCCATTTATACTAAAGGATCATAAGAGGACCCAAGGTAATCTATTGACCAATTAATTCAAATATTAGGACTAAGGCAGGCTAGGAAGTTCCTAAGAGACCAGCTGGTCAACGTTAAGGTCCTGTACCCAATCAAAATTTCAATCAAGGTGGGGGTTTGTTTGGAAATAATCATTCAGGAAGTGGTTTCGTGATGGGACTTGGAATATTCCCTGCGCTTTTCACTTTAAATTTCAATTGGGATGATATTTTCGGATAAAATAATCTGGGTAGAGGGAATGGTGCAAATGCAGCTAACAATGAGGAGACAAGAGAGTAACAGCTATAGAGACTATTACTAATCTTTATGTTCTTCATGTTTATGAGCTTTGTTTTTTTCGGAGGTGATGTCTTTCTCACCTTTTGAAACAAAAAACCTTCCTAGATCGTAATGTTTTATATACCAATAGTTATTGATAAAGCCCTTCTTAAATTATTTATTAGTTCACTCAATTACACCTCAGCTATCAAATCACTCTTCTTAATTAATAAATATTTGACTTTCACTCAAAATTCAAATTAGCTACTACTATGGGGTTTTGGGGTTTTGGGGTTTTGGGG